TGCCATTTGTAGTTCCTTCCTTGGATTTTTGAATGTCGCGTTGTTAGAATAATATTCATAATTTTTTTTTTCCTTAGAAGGCGCCTTGTCATGCAAAGAACACCTTTCTCGTTGCAATACTATCAGTGAAAGAATTAGAAATAGGTATATGGCGTAAAACGAAATGCGTGAAGGGGAAAAATAGCAGTTATAAATAGGGATTTTCATGCGAAAGATTTGAGAAGCTTTAGGCAGTTTTGCCACGCGGGTATTATACTTGATTTCTTTGTACCTCTTTTTTAGCTTGCCTACAATTGAAATTTTACATCGTAGATACAATAATTCAAAGTAATCTAAAGTGAACTCTAAAGTCGGGCTCTTGTTTTTGCTCTCACATTGATGTAGCAATGAAATTCAGAAGTACTGCTGCAAATATTTGAAATCAAATTGCTTTAGGATTCATGCCACCTCCAATGCCGCATCCAAATATGATGGGGATGGGAGGTAACCCCCACTACGCCGAAGGTGGGGAAGCCGACAAGTACAATCTTCAGTTCAGGTACTGGATACAAGCGTTTTCAAATGTTTTCTTTAATTATTTGCTGCTAGCTATTCTGCTTATTATCTGCCAATTCTTCGATTTTTAGTGACCGCACTATTCGTGCAGCATTCGTACGAAAGGTCTTCTTCCTGGTGGCTATAATGGTAAACAAAAGCATTGCTTTGATTCCTTTCAGATAATGTTCATACCGACTTTCTTTACAGCTTGGCGTAGTGGCCCTTATGACTGCGGTTCCGTTTTTCAATCACGATACGAGACTTTTTGTAGCTAGAAATATTGGAATGTATTGGGCGGCTTAGTGAGTCGAAACAGTATAAGTTATGGTCTTCAAGATTTATAAAATTTCCATTAAGTGGTGTATTCTTCGCTGTCTATTTGGCTTTGATGTGCTGCGAGTCGGTTAGGCGCTCGTTCCCAGCTAACATCATCATGACGGCTATTTTCGTGAGTCTTTGCAATTAAACG